CCACAGGGTCAGATTTTCGGTTTTTACTTGGAGCAAGGGTCAGATTTGTTAACACTTTCTTTTTTTATTTGGACAAGGCATGCAAGCGGAGGGGCAAGAGTGGTTAGAATAGATTCTGCAACCTTCTCCGCTTGTTGGATAAAAATGTCAAGCCTCCGCATACATGCATCTCCCCTCCACCCTCCCGTGAAATGTCGATTTTCGAGATTAAAAAAAAAACAATAATTGCATTTTTTATTTCAATAACGCATGAGTAAATAGGGATATGAACGCAGATTTAATATAGGCCCATAGAATTACGGGGACCGGCAAGGATTTGGAAAGTCTGAATGCAAGTCCTGCTTACACCTAACAAGTGCTGAAGTGGGACATAACCAGAGGTAGAAAGGTCTCGGAAGCACTTGGGAAGAGGCTTCCCAAGACCTATCCAGTTCTGAACGGAGAGACCTAAGTAGAATTTGTCAGGTCCAATTATTCGACTCGGGAGGAAGCCCTTATATCCCCCTTGAAATAGTATTTTTCCGGCCTGTTGCGAAGGGATTTTTTACTCGTGTGGCGTTGGCCTCCGAGCCGTAGGCGAGGAGTGACCAACCACACGAGTAAAAAAAACCCATCGCGACAGCCCAGGAACAATATTTTTCTGTAGTGATTTTCAAGTTTTCGAGTTTGGGAAGTATGTAATACCAATTCCCAGACGAGAAATCGTGAGAAGCAGTACAGAAAATGCATTATTCTTCGTCTGAAGTAATGAAGGCCTCAAAACAGTGTGGCAGTGAATGTTGCAACACTGTCGCTCGAGAGGTCGACAGGGACTCACTCGCACCGCGCGGCGCCGCGTTTCTCTCCGTTCGGCGTTTCTTTTCTTTCTTTAGCTAAACAAATTCCCCGAGAAAAAAATGGATAACGCCAACGCTTAATAAAAGAATTGAATGGGGAACTCAATTTTTTTCAGAATTTTCAAGTGTCGCGAAACACGCTAAAATATAAAAAAATGAAAATGGGCGGCGCCGCGCTCATTGAGCGAGTAATCGACGCTTGAATTAACCTGAGTCGATACATTTCTCTAGTTTTTGATATTCTCCATTTCGGGATTATGTTTCTCTGTTTAATTCAAAAAATTTCCCATGTAAATTCATGTTTTTGTTGGATAGTCTTTCGGAATTTCACGTCTCCATCAGGAATGTCTGGGATTTCGGTGGCCAGAAAAGGCAGTTAAACCGGCTCCTACCAGGCATTTCGAATATTCCACTAGAATTCACTACAGATAATACCCAGTGGTTTGTGCAACCATTTCTCGGAAAATACAATGCAGCTTTTATTGTTTCACATCCTCGATATTTACGTTTTTTATCCCTCATTGACATGGATTAAATCACCATCTGGCTGTTCCCCGGGGGTTGAGCGTCTGTACCTTTGGGAAGTCAAAAAAATACTGGAAGAGGAATAGAAAAAAAGCTTAGCGAAGGGATGGAACGCTGATTTCCACTGAGGTTATTGGAAATGCAAACATAACAGAAGCAAGTGGGTTATCATCTTGGCAAACATAAACTCTGAATGCCCTCCGGGGAGTTACCGGTGAAGTCTCAAATCGATCCTCAAAGTTGCACTCAACATCTTCATTGCCTGATGGAGTGTTTAGCGATGTTTCAATCATCAATTTCATGAACTGAGTTTGTGAAAATCTCTTTTTGTATCGAAGATACAGACGCGTATTGAATTGGATTTAAAGGGAGGAGAGAAATCATGACATTTCAGATTTTACTGAATGTTTAATGGAGTTCCGAACTTTTCATCGCCAGGGGGTTGAAAATTTTCCAATTGACTCAAACTTTCATTCAGAATATGAAGATTCATTACCAAATTACGCTGAATTAGTGATTAATTGGAAATTAAAGAATATATCGAGGGACTACTCACTGCGAAATCACGTGAAATCACCAAAATCACTTCCGAAATCACGTGAAATCGTCTGAAATCAATTAAATCACCGATCAGTGGCCCATTGGTGTAGTACAAACCGTGCAAGTAATTCGTGATTTTGAAATTGACACGCCTATCAACGATGATAATAAAATGCCGTACTCACTGCCATTGTAAAATGGTAAAATGGATCGCTTTTCATCCTCATTAGCTCAAGATTGGCGGAGTGAGATCAAACAAATGCGTTATTATTTGCCAGATATCATTGCCAGTTTTGATTTTCATAATTTGACACAACCCGTTTTGTCCCACCTCTATAATTTATTAATTTTATTTTTCTAAAATCACTGATTTCGAATTAATGCAATTATTTGGAATCATAAAATCACCTCCTGTGGCGCTCGAAATCACCGAAATCATTTTCCCAAAATCACTGAAATCACCTCTGAAATCATCCGAAATCGACTTCATTTCGAAATCATAGTGTCACTCAATTATGGAATGAGTAGCCCCTCGGAATATATTTCGAGGAATAATTGAACTGAAATTAACAGGTTCGATTTTTTAGGTAATTTTTGAGATTTCAGTGGAAATTAGACATGATAAAAATTTTCGGGATTTGACACGGAAAATTCAGACAAAAATTTTTAACACTGTTGACCTGTTTGGTAATTTTTCTCCAAATTTTGTCTTCATGTGAAGAAATCACTGAATTCCAGAATTTCGCACTCCTTGAATTTCCCAATCGCGAATTCCTAAAAATTGGAACGGATCCCCGAAAATCAGTGACATGTTCCTGAACATGAGAACTTTATCTCCGTAAATTCCAAAAATGATTATTCTACATTTTTTCCTCCAGAAATTAGATTCGAAGGGATTCCCATTGGATTCCATTCCATTCCGGCCGGCATGCACGAAGTGTACAAAGCCCGTGTGGCATTTAAACAGAACGCCGGAAGGCGGTAGATGCTGGCACCAGATCGGAGAGGGACGAGTGGAGGCTAGTTGCTGGCTTGCAGATCGCCTCCCCCGCCCCCTCCTCGTCCTCCAACCAAGCCATCCACCGTTTTCCCAAGGTACACTCGACTGGGTCAGTACTACAGTGGGTGAATCCCTCGACACAGGTATTTGCCGATAGGCATCCCTCTGTGGTCACCAATGCCTGCGTTTCTCAATTCAACTCAAACATCGAGGTCCTTCTTTCCAATCAGATTTAACATCTGTTTGTATTAAAACTCATTTTGTCTCTCAAATGAGTTCCCCTTTGGCGAATCAATCTCACGACGATGCAAATAGCTCGGGAAGTTGGCGTGGAGGGTGGGGCTAAAATACTGGGAATCAGGAAATATATTGAACTTTATGCTGTATCAGAGTCTGTGGGGGATGGAGTGGAGCTTTAAAATATGCATGGGCACTGGATGTATGCATGTGAGCGAAGAGAGACGTGCTCGATAGAGCGGAAGGGACTGACTTTGCACGGGATATGCGGTGAAATGAAGCTCAGCTCCATCACAATCATCCTTTTTTTATCGATATGTGGAAATGTATGCACATTCTGGGGGGATCAAAAAAACGTGTGCGTTAAATATTAATGCGCGGGGCGAATGGAAATTCTGGAGAGTCGCGGGTGAGCAATTATACGATGCAAATTCTCCCAGTGGTTTTCTTGGATTTTTTTTTCGCGAGGGGCAGCGAGTTGACCATATGGGTTTACCTGTATTTTCCCCAGTCCATGTAGGCTTGGTAGAGGTAACCGAGGAGGGTAAACTTGTCATCGCGATGTCTTATGGACTTCAGGGCTCCGCGCCACTTTCTCACTGCTGCCTGCTGCTTGTGGGCACGGTAGAGCTTCAGGCCCTGCTCCACCTGAAGTGAGAGTGAGTGAGAAATGAGTTATTTATTCGGGAAACTGAAAATAAATTGTAAGGTAAAATTCATGCTCCAGGTGAATTATATCATAGGGTTACACGCAGGAAAATATTTATTAGAAGAACCTACCGAATTCGCTAGATAACTCTATTGGATTTCTATTGAATTTTCTATTAGTTGTGGGCGATTCTATTGAGATATTTTCTATAGAATTTTTTCGGCTCAAATTTTACAAGTTTTTCCATTCCATTTTTCTTTTCTTTTCATCAAGAAAATCAAACAAAAAACTTAGAAAATTTGAGCCAAGAAAATTCTGTAGACGATATCTCAATAGACTAAGTTGTACAGTAAAATCGAATTCCATTGACTTTTTCTGTAGAATATTTTCCATTGAATATTTGAATAGAATCGGCAAAAACTAATAGAACGTTCAATAGTAATCCAAGAGAATTGTCTAGCGAATTCGGTAGGTTCTTCTAATAAATATTTTCTTTTTCTATGAAATGTTTTCATATGTGTAATCATTTTTTAATGTTCGACTTGAAGTATAATTTCTTATTTATCCCGTGTCCCAGTTGAATTAATGGGTGGGTGTCCGCCTGGTGGTCAACTTTAAGAATATCGAAGAATTAGAGGACTAGAATAATTTCAAGCAATCTCAAATATCATCACGTTATAAGTGTTAATGAGGACTAATTCAGTGTCCAATTTTAGCCCAATAGTATCAGTCGTTTTAAAGAAATCGACATTTGCTTTTAAATCATTTTTTGCAAACATCTTGTCATACTGTCCAACTGATTTTAATATTTCTCTCTTGAAAATATTCATCTCCCTGTCTTCTATCTCATATTAACTTGAAATTTGGCATAAAATTTTCTCAATCAATAAAAAAAAATATATATATATGTATCGATTCATAAAGAGCTTTTGAGATATTCTCATTTTTCTATTCTTTTTTTGCTCAGAATCCTTACGTGCACTCTAACTTCTAAACGAATCGAGATTTTAATATAAAATTTGGCATGAACTTTCCTCTTATCCTTGCATCGGTTCGTATTGAAAATGGGCTCAACTTTGCATGTAAATCGATCTAATTGAATATCTTGAAAACTGCTCAACCGATTTAATTTAGCCCATAAGAATTCAGTGAACAACCAAAATGGAACCATTTGGAACCCTGCTATCAATTTAATGATAGCAGAGGAGGATAAACACACTCCTAAATGGAAAATTATTTATCTCCTAAAAAGAATCGACATGACAATGATAACAGTATCAACAAAGCGTAAAAACTTAATGAATCGTTTCTCGATATGCATCCCGCCTGTTGTTTCATGCCAGCTGTACAGGGCTTTTTGTCCCATTTTGTGGAGAGAAAAGACAAAAAGGAATCTTTCATTCATCAAGGAATATGAATTAAAAAAAAGGAAACACTTGAAAAATTTTTGTCGTTTTTTTCGTCAATCGTTATTATTTCAGATGAAGGCTTACAATAATAAGCAATACAATAAGAATCGCGGTTGAATCATCATCATTAATCTGATGTCTCCTCAGAGTATTATCATGATTCGAGGCACTGCTAATAAAAGTAACAATGATGTAACAATTATAAGAATATCAAGTAGGAATAAAAAATTACTGAGTGGTTTTTTTATGTGGATCCCGCCAGTTGCTTCATGCCAGCTACACTAGGCTTTTTGTTTTCTTCTGTCGAGTCGGAAAAGTAGAGAATAAAGAAAAAGATACATTAGAACAGAAGAAAAAAATATAAAAACAAGCAGGGAAAAATTGAGAGTGACTATAACAGTCTTTATAGGGGTGAATGTTTGGTGACACAATGGATAATTTTTTCGGTGGCCTTTAAAGAAATTGATGGAGTAATCATCACTCTCAAATAATTAGTAACAATCTTATGTTTTTTCACAATAAGAGACAGCGGATTTAAATGAAGCGTCTTTAATCATGCAACATCTCGAGAACCGTTAAGGGGAATTTCTGGATTTTTATTTAATTTTCGAAGTTTTTTTGTTTGTAATTTAGTGAAGAAATATTAATTATGAAACCGTCTGTTTTATTCCAGTCTCTCCTATTACAATAATTGCATACATTTTTAAAACTATTTTTTCTCCTCGCCGGATTCGGCATGAAAAGACTCGATACAATAATGATGGCGCCATCAAGAAGGAATAAAAAATTAGTGAATCGTTTCTCGATATGCATCCCTCCTGTTGTTTCATGCCAGCCACACTGAGCTTTTTGTCTCCCTTCGTCGACTCGGGAAAGTACAAAATAAAAAAAAAACATAAAAAGGAGAGAAAAAAAATATGAACGAGAAAGATAAAAAAAGAGGGAATACCTGGAGAGACTGACGGGCTTTGTAGGGGTAAATATTTGCCCACTGATCGACAAATGTGGGGTACTACCGGGCTTTATCGGCGTTCTAAAAATATTTGTATCGACTCGTTGGGAATTTTTTTGTGCATTTTTTTCTCGGATTTTCCGCTGCGGATAAAGTGCGGTGAAAATGGTGTATGTGGGTTTCAATATTTCCAGTGTTTTTGCAAGCCAATTCCATTTCGCTGGAGCGTTCCCATTTGCATGTAAGAGACATTGTTTTATTCTGCGACTTTTTTTTTCGTTATTTTCACTTGGGAATTTTTTTTCCTCGGTTCAGAAGTTGAATCAGGATAATTACACCATAAATTTCACGAGTGACTGCTCTTTTCATTTACGTCCGACGTCAGATTAAGTTGTACTCGTGAGTGCCAGTGGAAATTAACGAGAGTTGATTATCAAGCGAATGTATTTCCGCGGGGAAACGAAAATACAGGGTTTGAAATTTGCAACCTCCACCTGATTTCCCCAAGACCGAGCCATGTGGAAGGCCGTTTTATCGATTTAACCCTGAACTTTGTGCTCGAGTAGACCCACGTGCCGTGAGGCATTTAATAAATATATAACGAGGGGTAGGACAGTCACAAAGAGATGACGAGACACTCGAGAGAGAGGAAGAGAGTCTCTGAAACACAAATTGAAATAAAAATCCAGTATTTTATTCCTCATTTAACTCGTCTCACCGGGAAGATAAAGAATTCAAGGCTCCACTTGGATTGAATTAAAACGGGGTGAATTGGGTTTAATTCATTTCGAGAATCTACCGGGGAATAATTCAATTGAATACTGGGTTGAAGACGTGTCTGAGGTAGGTTGGAACATTGGGAAAATTTTCATACTCGGGGAGGGGGTACCCACGTACTAAGTGAAAATCAATGCCACCAGCTACTGTCTCGATAAGTTTCCCAACAAGATGATAAAGATTGATACTCTCGCCGAGTCGTGTCATCCTACTTATCAATTTATTCATGAAAACCGTTCGAGGGGAATGGGGAATGTGATTTAATGTTCGTCAATATTTCGATCGGGGGGAGTGCATCAAGCTGTGGGGACTTTTGGCTTTTTGCAGTGGATGAGAAATGAGGAGGGAAAATCGACTTCGGCTCAGAGCATTTCACTCCTTTTTCATTACACGGAGAGAAAAACGACAGAGTTATCAAACAATTCAGCGAAGTGGTAGAACGGTATAAGTCAATTTTGACTATTGACCAGTTTTCAATAAATATCTCGGAATCTAAGGGAGATGGCAAAATTTTTGTTATCACCTTTTTTATAGAGCCGATTAAGAGCTATAAGAAATGTAATTACGAAAATTTCGCTATCTCCGTTAGATTCGGACATATTCTTCAAAAACTAAGATAAGTCGGCTTAAACCGGTTTACCACTTCGCTACTGAATTCTCACACTGTTAGATTTTTTTAGAATCTCGTGGAAGATGTTATAGTAAATCTCGTGAGAGTGACATTGAATCGGATTTAGGGAAAAAATGGTTATGAAATTTCAAGTTTTAAGTAGAGTTCACGGAAATTCGTGAGTTTTCAGCGGGAGTGAGATGGAAATTTCAGAATTTGATTGAATTTTCAGAGGAATATGAATATTCAGAAACTAAGTGACATGAATTTTCAATGTTTCCCTGAATTTTCCTGATTTTTTAAAAATTTTCATAGAATAATTGACCTGAAAAATCAAATATTTTATTGATTTCCAGATTATTTGAACAGAAAACGAATGGAACATTTGATTTTTCAATGACAAGATTGCCTGAAATTTCAATGGAACTTCGACACGTTAAAAATTTCCGGAATTTGGCACGGAAAATTCAGACGAAAATTTTTAACAGTTATTTTTAACAGAAGTATATGAGGCTCCGGTTTTACCACGTGAATGTTATTTAGTGTATATCTTTGCCCAATAAACCCTTATAATTTCCATGAAACAAATGATAATTTCAAGAGGAAACTACCATTTTCTTGCTGAAAACTGTTATTTTATTGGTAAAACTAAATAGTTTTGAAGGGACAATTAAAAAAAAAAATTCTTTCCTTGTCAATGTATTCTTTCTATAGCACAAACCTATGGAGTTCTCTCAGATCATATGATTGTCGTACAATAGATTATATTTTTTCTGCAGAAAAATTATTCTATGTGGCACTTGTCAAATGCAAGCCAACAATACGAAATACTGAGCGGTCTTACCGCATCCCGGTAGAACCACTCATTCGGCTTCCCTCTTAGCTTTCCAATAAATTTGGGAATCACGAGTATCAAGCATTTATAATTGAAGAAAACCAAGATGAATAGTAGAAGAAGACTTGAGGATGGTCGCTCTTATTCAGAATTAAGGTTTTGAAGGCAAAAAAAATATCATTTGTGCTTAGCTGGGCGGCACATACACCGCCTACACTACTCAAGAAATTATTCATAAAAACAATTTACGGGAAATATGGAATAATAACCAGAGGCAATTAAATTTTCGTGAATATTTTCAGTAATATAAGAGGAGAGATTAAAGCTGCGAACAATTTTCAATTTGCAATGAGCCCAGACTGCTCAATCGATGACTTAATTTCCGAGTTATGAATATTTAGATAAAAATTCACAAG